TATGAAGTCTCTGTGCACATCTATCCCATTTTTGTTTTTATTTTCATCCTCTTAAGTTGTATGAACTCATATATGTTGGACAGAAGCCATTTTCAGATATCTGTCTTGTTAATATTTTATCTGAGTCTATGACTTTCATTTTCTTAATATCTTTTGATAAGTTTTTAAAGATACAGTTTTTTAAAAAAATTTCTTCTAGAAGCTTTATAGTTGTAGCTTCTATTTGTTTATATCTATGATCCATCTCAAATTAATTTTTTTGTATAGGTCAAAGTTTATTTTTTCCTCCAAAGTTTATTCAGTTGTTTCAGCACCATTTGTTTAAAAAACATTCCTTTCCCCCATTTAACTGCTTTGGCAATTTTAATTTTAGGAAATCAAATGACCGCATAAGGGTACTTTGTGAATCTATATTTTGTTTCATTTATCTATCCTTATGCCAGTACCACATTGTTTTGATTATTCTAGCTTCGTATCTGTCTTAGTCATCTAGTGCTGCTGCAACAGAAATACCACAAGTGGATAGCTTTAACAAAGAGAAATTTATTTCTTCACAGTAGAGTAGGCTAAAAGGCCAAATTCAGGGCGTCAGCTCCAGGGAATTCCTTTCTCCCTCTGTCGGCCTTCTCATCAATGTTCCCCTGGACTAGGAGCTTCTCCGTGTAGGGACTCCGGGTCCAAAGGACACGCTCTGCTCCTGGCACTGCTTTCTTGGTGGTATGAAGTCCCCTTGTCTCTCTGCTCACTTCTCTCTTTTATATCTCAAGAAATTGCCTTAGGACACAATCCAATTTTGTAGATTGAGTCCTGCCTTACTAACACAATGCCACTCATCCTCTCTTATTAAAATCATAGAGGCAGGATTTATAACATACAGGAAAATCACACAATACTTGGAATCATGGCCCAGCCAAATTGATACACACATTTTTTTGGGGGACATAATTCAATCCATGACAGTATTAAATCTTGATTTCTGGTAGTCTAAATTCCCTGGCTTTGTTATTTTCTAGTATTGTCTTAGCTATTCTAAGTCCTTTGCATTTCCACATATATTTTGCAATCAATTTAGCAACTTCCTACAAAAATGAGTGTTGGGATTTTGATTGGGATTACATTGAACGTATAGATCAATTTGGGGAGAATTGAATTCTAAACGGGTCTTCTCATCCACGATTATGGTATATGTTTCCATTTATTAAGATTTTCTCTCATTTCTCTCAGCGAAGTTTTGTGTAGCTTTCAGGTAGTGTTCTTGCATGTATTTTGTTAAATTTATTCTTAAGTATTTGATGTTCTTTATAAACAAAACTTTTTTCTTTTTAATCTCATTTTGCAATTGTTTGCTGGAATATAGAAATACAATTTTTTTTGTATATTACTCTTGAAACTATAATTAAAAATCCTTCTCATTTAAGAAACCTCCAGGCTCAGATGGATTCCATGGCGATTTGACCCAAGATTTAAGAAAGAAATAATAATAATTTTACAGTATTACTTTCAGAAAATGAGAAATGAACACTTCCCATATCATTTCATGAAGTCAACACTGATATTAAAATCTGAGAAAGGTGTTTATAAGAAAAAAAATTACAAACCAATATCAATAATAACCATACACACAAAAGTCTGAAAATAATTAGCAAATTGAATTCAGCAACATATAAAAAGGATAATATATCATGACCAAGTGGGGCATAATCCAGGAATGCTAGGTTGGTATGACATTCTAAGATTAATCAAAGTAATTCACCACATTAAAAAAGAGAAACCAAAAGATCATGCCAATAGTTGCTTTTTATGTCAAAATTTAACACCATTCATGATAAAACTCTCAATAAGAGAAGAATAAAACAAAATTTACACAATCTGATAAAGATTGTCTATGGAAAAGGTACAGCTAACACCACACTTTATAATGAAACACTGAATGCTTTTTACCTAAGACCAGAAACAAGGTAACAATGTCTGCTCTGAGTGCTTCCATTCAATACTGTACAGGATTTCCTAGCCTGTGCAATAAGGCAAGTAAATTAAATTAAAAAATAGAAATTTAAAAGGAAAGGTCTTCAGAGATGTCATGATTGTGTTTGTACAAAACTCTAAGTAGTCTATAAAAACAAACACTTCTAGAACTGACTAAATTTAATGAGGTCACAAAATACAAGGACAATATATAAAAATTCATAATATTTTAAAGACAAGCTGTTCCTAGTTTTTAAAGAACAGATCATTACAATAACAAAAATCATACCAATAAAGGAAAAAAGGAAACTATAATACTGCCTCACTTATAACTATACATGGGAAAAGTCTAAAGTATTACCAAATGGACTCCAGCAGTATGACAAAAAAATCACAGTCTATTAGAAGAAATGTTTAAAATTTAAATTAATACGTATAAATCAATACATCAACAAATTTAAGAAGAAAAATGTAAGATTACAGTAACAGATAACAAAATAGGCTTGGACAAAATTTAGCAGCCATTTTCAATAAAATAAGTAGGCATCTTCCCTCTCCCACACATATGCTGAAGGAAATTATTTAGAGGCAAAAAGAGAATCTATCCCCAAATGAAGAGTAAACATTATAGAAAGTGATTATATGAGAAATTTTCCATTAAATTTGGAGAAAAAAGATGCCTGTTATCACCATAATATTCCACCTTGTTCTGAAGATTCCAGCTATTGCAATAATAAACCTAAATGAAGTAATAACCATAAATATTGGAAAATAAGTAAAATTTTATTGGCAGATTACACGACTGAAAACTTAGAAACCGTAAATGTATCTCATTAAAAATTTAGCAATTATGCTATATTCAATCGAGGAGAAAGTAATTGCATCAATATAGCAAACAAAGTATCCAGAATGACATTCAAGTCAATTAGAAAATAAAATTTAAAAAATGGGGAAAATCAAGAATAGAAAAGTCAAAGTAAAGGAATGATGCGACCCTATAGGACAGAGTAGAACTGCCCCGTAGGGTTTCCAAGGAGTGGCTGGTGGATTCGAACTGCTGACCTCTTGGTTAGCAGCCGAACTCTTTACCACTGCACCACCAGGGCTCCAAAGTGAAACTATAGGGTCATTCAATTTACCAGTTAACAGGAGTCTAAGAGAACAATCTGGCAATATCTAGTAGTGTTGGAAGTGTATATAACCTGTGATCAATTTAGCAATATCTTGCATAACTGAAAGAATAAAGGTAGTCCCCGACTTACAACGACTGTCGTCAGTTCTGACATGCCTACCTCATTTTTTTTTTTTAGTTTTCAATATTATTGCCTTTTATTATCAGTATATTTATAAATCTGATCTTTACTTATTTTTAGGGGTTGGAAACATTACATATAAACTTTTACAGATATATTTTAACATTGTATGTAGTACATATTACTAATGATATACCAAAAAAAAAAAAAAAAGTTTTAAGTGTGGTTCCATGGGACTCAAATATGTTGTAGGTCGGGGACTACCTGTATATAATGTATCAGCAATTCTACTTCTAGATGTATACAATCAGCGAAATCATAACCAATGATCGCAGATAAGGATATTCATTGTAGCATATTTGAAACAGTGAAAAATTGTTAAAATCTAAATGCCAACCAATAGGTTTAAATACTTTATCGTATATTCATATAATTTTGAATATACTGTAATTTTTAATTTTTAAAAGTAATTTTGGAGAAAAATACCAGCCCTACATTCAGAAAGCAGGCAACTGATTGCAGAGGAAGGTGCAGCAGCAGAGAAATACACCATGCGTTTCCTTCCCAAACATAGCTAAACATCTGCTATAATATCTGCACATTTCATCTTTACAGTCACTCTTTTTTGGTTATGGCAGCATTTCTAGTGTGAGTTCACATTCCAAAGATATCTTTTTAAAAAAATCCATTGCCATTGAGTCGATTCTGACTCATACTTACTCTATACGACAGAGTAGAAGTGCTCCATAGGGTTTCCAAGAAGTGGCTGGTGGATTTGAACTGCTGACCTTTTGGTTAGCAGCCGAGCTCTTAACCACTGCGCCACCAGGGCTCCAAAGATATCACTAGGTATTGTGAATGAAATTTCCTTAGTAAATTTTAAGACAGACTGAGATAAGCAAAGTTGGGCAAATATTCTTTACTGCAGGACTCATTAAGTCTCTTGAGAGCCTGAAATAAGCATTTTTTTTTAATAGAAGGTATTTGGTATTCAAAACTTCATAAGCCTCTGTGACCAGAGAAAACTTTTTCAAGTACCACTAACTACTAGTGTTCCCAGAGAATTCTTTCAGATATGTTGGATTAAGGCATTCTTTCCCCAGGTTACAAACATATGGTACTTTGGAGGAATAATCCACTGATCTATTAACTGTTATTTATGACTCAAAATACTCAGCTTTTTAATACACTGAATTGTTAATGTACAGAAATAATTTGCAAATGTTAGGAAATGATGGCATCTATTAGATAGTAAAGTGTTAAAAAGCAAAGATGTTACTTTAAGGACTAAGGCATGCCTAACTCAAGCCACGGTACTTTCAACTGCCTCATACACATGCGAAAGCTGGACAATGAATAAGGAAGACCAAAGATTGATGTCTTTGAATTATGGTGTTGGTGAGGAGTACTGAATATACTATGAACAAATCTGTCTGGAAGAAGTATAGCCAGAATGCTCCTTAGAAGCAAGGATGGGGAGACTACCTTTCACATACTTTAGACATGCTATCAGGAGGGATCAGTCCCTGGAGGACATCATGCTCAGTAGAGGGCCAGTGAAAAAAATGAAGACCCTCAACAAGATGGATTGACACAGTGGCTGCCAACAATGGGCTGAAGCATAATGATTGTGATGATGGCACAGGACCAGTGTTTTGTTCTGTTGTACATAGGGTCACTATGAGTCGAAATCAACTTGATGGCAGTAGTTTTTTTTTTTTAATTGTTTTTTTTTTATTGGTTTAGAGTATTTTCTACTAGTTTCTTGAGTTGAATGCTTATTCATTCTTTTAACAGTTTTATCAAGTGCTTACTATGTTGGAGAGACTGTAGTAACTGCTTGGGATAAAGCTGTGAGCAGGAGGGAGAAAGTGCTGGCCCTTAGTATTTGTTTTCTGAATACATTAACAGGTATCAATTTGTCAGTGAGTAAAGGTTTGGCCACATCTCATCATCACTCATTTCTAAACTCTCCCTTATGTTTTAATTTTCTCTTTAGTATAGTTATATTATTGCTGATTTTGAATTTCCAAGTTGCCAGAGTCACCCTATAAATTACTTATTAAATGGAAAGAAATACTTAGCTCTACAACAAAGGAACCTAGTATTCCAGTTATCTACTGCTGCATAACAAACCACCCCAAAACTTAGTGGCTTAAAATAATGACAATATTTATTTTACACATGAATCCACAATTTCGGCAAGCTCAAGGTGGAAAGTTTGTCTACGCTTCACTTGGCACCAGCTGGAATGGCTTGAAAGCTGGAGGCTAGAATCATCTGGAAGCTCATATACTTACGTCTGGAGGTTGATGTTACTTGAGACAGCTAGGACTATGTAGACAGGACACCTTTAGTTGATATTTCCATGTAGCTACTTGGTTCCTTCACAGCATGGTGGCTGGGCTTCAAGGGTAAGATTTCCAAGGGGGCTAGGTGGAAGCTGTATTCTCTTTTGTGACTTAGTCTTGGAAGTCACATAGTGTTTTGGAAGTCCCATAATTCTTTCTGCCATAATCCCAGGCCTGCCTCCCTGCCCAGATTCGAAAGGAAGGACCGTGGACCCCACTTCTTGATGGGGGACTGTCAACATCACATTATAAAATAAACAGTGTTGAATGGGATATATTGGTGTGGCCATCTTTCAAAAATATATTCTGCTACACCAAGTGATCAAATGTAGGATAACATAAATACAAAATAAATAAAATGAAATACCAAGTATCACTTATTAAGTATTCTTGCCAAAATATTTAATTTGAGCCTAACTGGTTCATGATAAAAATTCAGAACATGACATTCTACAACTGTCCTGAACTCTTCAAAAAATCAATATCACAATAAAGTTGGGGGCTGTTATTAAAAATGACTAACAGTGTATAAGCAAATGGAATCTACAGATTTATTTTGGTTTTTGAATTTTTAGTTATCTATGAAAAGCATTCATCACATAACTGAGGAAATACAAGTAAGGACTGAGTATTACAGATTATGGAACTATAGTTAATCTCTTTACGTGCTGAGTTACATAGCAATTAAGTAGAAGATGGCCTTTATTCTTAGGACATGCATGTTTATATACAGAGAGGGGGGAATGTAATGATGTCTATAATTTATTCCACAGCAAAGAATATGTAAATATTATACAGAACCAAATATGAAACATTAACAACCACTGAATCTTGAGAGCGCATGCCAGTATTCACTGTACTATTCTTTTAACTTTTCCAAATGGACACTGGTCTTTTGGTTGCTTGTTAGTTTCTAATTTATCATGAATTGTGGGCAGAAAAAGCAGACTGTAATATCCACTTTTTAATTATGAAAAGAAAAAGCTTCACCGCTCTTGTTCTTCAAAAGCTTTACTCATAATGTTCACACTCATTAAATCCATAGCTTTCTCATTTTGATTTTCAGAGATGAGCCCTAATTTTAGAAATGGAAGTTTACTATATTTTAGTAACAACCAAATTTTAAATGATGAGTGAATGGCAATGGAAGGTTTTTATGAATTCCTTATACATACAGGGTCTTCCTCACACACAAACTTACTAATAGTATCGCTAGGGCTAAAAACCAAGAATAATATTTACTGAGTACGTGTTGTGTGCCAAATACTCTTCTAAAGTTTTTATCTTGTAACATTTCATCCTCATGTAAATACTATTATCAACATTTTAAAACTGAGGCACAGGGGGAGAAGTATTTTGGCAAATACCACACAGGTTGAGGTATTTGGTATAATTATAAGAATTATAGTAAAGGATGTACCATGGCTAAAGTCTTTCCCACATTCATAACACTGACAGAGTTATTTTCTGTTACCAGAAAATAAACCCATTGCTGTTGAGTCGATTCTGAGTCATAGTGACCCTTCAGGAGACAGAACTGCCCTGTAGGGTTTCAAAGGAGTGGCTGGTGGATTCAAACTGCGAATCTTTTTAGTTAGCAGCCAGAACTCATCGTAGCTCTGAACCACTGTGCCATCAGGGCTCCATTTTCTATTACAGTGCTATACAAAGTGTGGTCCATGGACTGACACTGGTCTGCAAATTGTTTACTTCTGGTCTGTAATGAGTTCACTACCGACACCAAGAATAAGCATTTAGAAACCTTTACAGCAACTTGAGAGTTAATTTATGCCCATTAAATCTAATAATAAAAAAAATGCCCTTTATTTTGTATGTTGGTTTTTCTTTCCATTTCATTTTCGTGGTAACTCATTTTTTATTGTATTTTACAAAAGTATCAGTCAACAACAGATGGGGGGGGGTCCTTCACCTTGGATGGTTTGGGATGCACTGCACCAGTATCAATCTGCCAAAGTTTAACCATTACTGGGTGATGTTATAGGTTTTCAACTCTTTAAATTAGCAGACATAGTATAAAACCATTTCTGTTGTGAGCATGAAGCAAAAAGGATTCCCACATATTCTAGTATAAATTTTCTCATGTTCCCTAACAAGTAAACTTTCTTATATTAAATTATGAATTCACTGCTCTTGTAAAAATGAATATTTACTGAAGGCTATCATATACTCTTTGTATTCAAAGGGTTTCCTCACTAATATGATTTCTCTGATGTAAAGTAAGCTGATCACTACGAATAAAGGCTTTCCCACATTCTTTACATTTATAGGGCTTTTCACCAGTATGAATTCTGTGATGTCGAGTAAGTTCTGAATTAACACTAAAGGCCTTCCCACATTCTTTACATTTATAAGGTTTCTCACCAGTATGAACTGTGTGATGTCGAGTAAGTTCTGCTTGAAGACGAAAGGTAGTCCCACATTCTTTACATATATAGGGTTTCTCACCAGTATGAAGTCTAAAATGTTGAGTAAGATGATACCGACGACTAAAGGTCTTTCCACATTCTGTACATTCATATGGAATCTCACCAGTATGAATCCTCTGATGTAAGGTAAGTTGATAACTACAAATAAAAGCATTCCCGCATTCTTTACATATATAGGGTTTCTCACCAGTATGAAGTCTGTGATGTTGAGTAAGATGATAGTGACGACTAAAGGTCTTCCCACATTCCTTACATTCATAAGGTTTCTCACCAGTATGAATTCTGTGATGCTGAGTAAGATGATTGCTACGAATAAAGGCTTTCCCACATTCTTTACATTTATAGGGTTTTTCACCAGTATGAATTCTACGATGCTGAGTAAATTCTGTTTGAAAGCGAAAGGCCTTCCCACATTCTTTACATTCATAGGGTTTCTCACCAGTATGAATTTTGTAATGCTGAGTAAGATTATAGTGACGACTAAAAACCTTCCCACATTCCATACACTCAAAGGCATTCTCATTGGTGTGAGTTCGCTGGTGTGAAATAAGTTGACTGCTATGAATAAAGGCCTTCCCACATTCCTTACATTCATAGGGTTTCTCGCAAGTATGAATTCTGTGATGCCGAGTAAGTTCTGCTTGAAGACGAAAAGCTTTTCCACATTGTTTACATCCATAGGGTTTCTCACCAGTATGAATTCTGTAATGTTGAGTAAGATGATAGCGACTACTAAAGGTCTTCCCACATTCCTTACATTCATAGGGAATCTCACCAGTGTGAGTTCGCAGATGTAAAGTAAGTTGATAGCCACAAATAAAGGCTTTCCTACATTCCTTACATTCATATGGTTTCTCACCAGTATGAATTCTGTGATGCCGAGTAAGTTCTGTTTGAAGACGAAAGGCTTTTCCACATTCTTTACATTCATAGGGTTTCTCACCAGTATGAATTCTATGATGTCGAGTAAGTTCTGCATGAAAACTAAAGAACTTACTGCATTCTTCACATTCATAGGGTTTCTCACCAGTATGAATTTTCTGATGTTGAACAAGGTATGAGCCATGACTAAAGGCCTTTCCACATTCATTACATTTATAGGGTTTTACACCAGTATGAATTTTCTGATGCTGACTAAGATGTCGTTGCACTCTAAAGGTCTTTTCACAAACCTTACATTCATAAGGCCTCTCACCAGTATGAATTCTCTGATGTTCAGTAAGTTGATAATGAAGTCTAAAAGCCTTCCCACATTCTTTACATTCATAGGGTCTCTCCCCCACATGAATTGTCTGATGTACTCTAAGGTCTCTAACACGACTAAAGGCCTTCCCACATTCCTTACACTCATAGGGTTTCACACCAGAATGTATTCTCTGATGTTCAGTAAGGTGATAATGAAGTCTAAAGGCCTTCCCACATTCCTTACATTCATAAGGTCTCTCCCCAGCATGAATTGTCTGATGTACTCTAAGGTCTCCCACACGACAAAAGGCTTTCCCACATTCCTTACATTTATAGGGTCGCTCACCAGTATGAATTCTCAGATGTTGAATAAGGTATGACTGTTGTCTAAAGGCCTTTCTACATTCCTTACATTCATATAATTTCTCTCCAATATGAATTTTTTGATGTAGAGGAAGAGATATATGTTTTCTGATTATCATTTGACTAATGCATCCCATTTGATGTCCTTCTTGTGTCTCAAATTCATGTTTGCATTGCAAACCATTTCTGAAAATGGTGTCCTCATCAATGTATGTTTTACTTTCTTCCACTGTCTGCCATTGAGATAAATGTATTTCATAAATATCCTGTTCTGGAAATAACTTCTTGGTGACACACTTGGACTCCAAATCTGAAAAAAAAAAAAAAAAAAAAACACACAAGAAAGCAAGAAAAAATGCTGTAATGCTATTTTTCTGTGTTGTGGGTGGGGTGGGAGGCTGCATCTTACAGTAGAAATAGGAGATAATATAATACACATTAGAAGTCTGTGGAAGGCTTAAACCAGGGGTCAGCAAACTTTTTCTATTAAAAAAATATTAGGCTTCACATGGCATATGGTCTTTTTCATCAGATGATTCTGATGCACATCATTTTGAGAATCTGTAAGTAATTCCTTTACCAAAGATATCTCTCTACCCTTAGAATAAAATCCAAATGCATAACCATGGATAGAAAAGGCCCTTGCTTATCTGTAAGACCTATTCAAACCACTGGCATCTTTGTTTATAATCTCCTATCACAATGCACCCCAGCTCCTATAATATGACATAATCTTTGCTATATCTTAAGGCTTTTTACAAGCTGCTCTCTCATCCAGAAATATCTGACTTTGGCTCTTTGTATGGCTGGCTTCTTCTCACCCTTCAGGCCTCAGGTTAAATGTCCTTTCCTCAGAAGTTTTTTGTTTTCATATTACTGAGTTTTGAAAGTTATGTATTGTGGATAGTCCTTTATCAGATGTACGACTGGAAAATATTTTCTTCCACTTTGTGGTTTGTCTTTTCATTCTCTTACATGGAAACTAAATAACACTCTGCTTAAAAACCACTGGCTAATAGAAAAAATAAAAAATGATATAAAAAATTTCTAAAATCAAACAAGAATAAAAACACAATATACCAAAACCTTTGGGCACAGCAAAAGCACCGCTCAGATGTCAATTTATAACAGTAAATGCACATATAAAAAAGGAAGAGCCAAAATCAACACCCAAACCCTACGACTCCAACAAATAGAAAAAGACCAGCAAAAAAGCCCAGTCATCAGAAGAAAGGAAATAATAAAGATTAGAGCAGAAATAAACGAAACAGAAAAACAATAGAAAGAATCAACAAGACTAGAAGTTGCTTCTTTGAAAGGATTAATTAAATTGACAAACCACTGGCCAAACTGACAAAGGAAAAGAAGATGCAAATAACACAAATAGGAAATGAGATGGGTGATGTTACAACGGAACCAAATGAAATAAAAACGATAACAATGGTACTATGAAGAATTGTACTCTGCCAAATTTGAAAACCTAGAAGAAATGGACAAATTTCTAGAAACACACGACCTACCTAACTAACAAACTGAGCTAGAAAATTTGAACAGACCCATAACAAAAGAAGAAAGTGAAGAGGTCATAAAAAAAACTCCTAAACAAAAAAAGCCCTGGCCCAGAAGACTTCACTGGAAAATTCCACCAAACATTCAGAGAAAAGCTGAGACCAATTTTAATCAAACTATTCCAGAACACAGAAAAGGACAGAATATTCCTGAATTTATTCTATGAAGCAAGCATAACCCTGAAACCAAAACCAGGCAAAGACACCACTAAAAAAGAAAATTATAGACGATATCCCACTAAAAAAGAAAATTATAGACAATATCCCTCATGAATATAGATGCAAAAAACCTCAATGATATCCTAGCCAATAGAATCCAACACCATATCAAAAAATAATACATCATGACCAAGTGGGATTCATACCAGGTACGCAAGGATGGTTCAACATTAGAAAAACAATAAACATAATCCACCACATAAACAAAAAAAGGAAAAGAACTACATGCGCATATAAATGATGTAGAAAAGGCATTTGATAAAATCCAACACTCATTCCTGAAAAAACTCTCAGCAAAACAGAAATAGAAGGAAAATTCCTCAAAATAAATAAGGGCATATATACAAAACCAACAGCCAAAATTATTCTCAAAGGAGAGAGACTGATAGAATTCCATTTGAGAATGAGAACCAGACAAGGATGTGTTTATCATGACTCTTACTCAATGTTGTACTGGAATTCCTAGCCAGAGCAATAAAGCAAGCAGGGAAATAAAAGGCATCCAAATTGGTAAGGAAGAAATAAAATTATCCCTACTTGCAGGTGATATGATCCTATACATAGAAAATCCTAGGGATTCTACAAGAAAGCTACTGGAACTAATAGACAGGTTCAGGAAAGTGGCAGGGTACAAGATTAACATACAAAAATCAGTCAGATTTCTCTACACTAACAAACAGAACTCCAAAAAAGAAATCAGGAAAACAATACTATTTACAATAGCCCCCCCAAAAGATAAAATACTTAGGAATAAACCTAACCAGGAACGTAAATCACTTATACAGAGAAAACTACAAAACACTACTGCAAGAAACCAAAAGAAACTTACATAAATGGAACAACATACCATTCTCATGGATAGGCAGACAACATTGTGAAAATGTCAATACTACCCAAAGCGATCTATAGATATAATGCAATCCTGATCCAGATTCCGTCAACATTCTTTAAAGAGATAGAAAAACTAATCAACTTTATATGGAAAGGAAAGATACCCTGGATAAGCAAAGCACTACTGAAGAATAAGAACAAAGTAGGAGTTCCCGATCTCAGAACTTACTGTACAGTTCAGTAGTCAAAACAGCCTGGTACTGGTACAATGACAGACACACAGACCAATGGAACAGAATTGAGAACCCAGAAGTAAATCCATCCACTTATGGACAGCTAATCTTTGACAAAAGGCCAGAATTCATTAAATGGGGGAGGAAATAGTTTCTTTAACAAAAGGTGCTGGTAAAATTGGATATCCATTTGCAGAAAAATGAAACAGTGTCCATACTTCACACAATATACAAAAACCAACTCAAGATGGATCAAAGACCTAAATATAAAAAATAAAACTATAAAGATCATGGAAGAAAAAATAGGGGCAAACCTAGGGGCCCTAATTTATGGCATAAATAGACTATCAAACATAGCTAAAAGTGCACAAACAGCAGAAGATAAACTAGACAACTAGGACCCCCTAAAAATTAAACACTTAAGTGCATCAAAAGACTTCTTCTAAAGAATACAGAATGTACAGACTGGAAAAAAATTTTGGCAACGACATATCTGACAAGGGGCTAATCTCTAAAATTTATAGAAAACTTCAACACCTCAACAACAAAAAGACAAACAATCCAATTAAAAAATAGGCAAATGACATGAACAGACACTTTACCAAAGAAAACATTCAGGCAGCCAAGAAATACACGAAGAGATGCTCGTGATCATTAGCCATTAGAAAGATGCAAATCAAAACAACAATGAGATATCATCTCACCCTGGCAATAATGGCAATGATCAAAAAAACCAGAAAACAACAAACTCTGGTGCAGGTGTGGGGAGACTGGAACTCTCAGACACTGCTGGTAGGATTGTAAAATGGTACAACCACTGAGGAAAATGGTATGTGCGTCCTTGAAAAGTTAGAACTAGAGATACCATATGATCCTGCAATTGCACTACTAGGTATATATCCTAGAAAAACAAGAGCTAGGACATGAACAGACATATGCACACCCATGTTCATTGCAGCATTATTCACAAGAGCAAAAAAACGGAAACAACCTAAGTGCCCATGAATGAATGAATGGATAAACAAACTATGGTACATACACACAACGGAATACTACACAATGTTAAGGAATAACGATGAATCCACGAAACATCTCACAACATGGTGAACCTGGAGGACACTATGCTGAGTGACATAAGTCAATCACAAAAAGACAAATATTGTATGGGACCCTGGTGACACAGTGGTCAAGCATTCGGCTGCTAACCAAAAGGTTAGCAGTTAGAATCCACAAGCTGCTCCTTGGAAACCCTATGGGGCAGTTCTACTCTGTCCTATAGGGACGCTATGAGTCAGAATTGACTCGACAGCAATGGGTTTGGTTTGGGTCTTACTATTGTAAAAAGTCAAGAAAAGGTTTACACACAGAAAGAAATGTTCTTTGATGGTTACCAGGCATGGGAGGAGGAGGGAGGGAAAATCACTAACTAGATAGTAGGCATATATTAACTTCGGTGAAGGGAAGGGCAATACACAATAAGGGTGATGTCAGCACAACATGACAAAAGCAAAGGAAGACACTGGGAGGTACAGAAGGGTAAAAGGCAACAACAGTAAATACTATTACATACACAATCCTGCAATAACAGTAATAACAATTTACGAGCAGATACATAGGTAGATATGCAAGCTGAATACGTGTGGGATGGTGTATGGGATTACAAATATGAGCACATTTAGGTTTGGCAGAGGATATTTCTACATATGTATTTGTATGTGCTGCAAGACATCCAAGTATATAGTAAAGTACACAGGGTGCAAAGTTATGAAAACTCCTTAGCCATAACCAAACACCTTGAGGGACTGAGTCACTGGGCTTGAGGGCTTAGGACCATAGTCTTGGGGGACATCTAGGTCAATTGGCATAACATAGTCCATAAAGACCATGTTCTGCATCCTAGTTTGGTGAGTAGCCACTAGGGTCTTAAAAGTTTATGAGCAGCCATCTAAGATACAACTATTGGTCTCTTCTCATCTGGACCAAAGAAGAGTGAAGAAAATCAAAGACTCAAGGAAACAATTAGCCCAAAGGACTAATAGACCACACGAACCACTGCCTCCATTAGCCTGAGACCAGAAGAACTAGATGGTGCCTGGCTACCACTACCAACTGCTCTGATCAGGATCACAGTAGAAGGTCCTGGACAGAGTGGGAGAAAAAGGTAGAACAAAATTCAAATTCATAAAAAAGACCAGACTTACTGGTCTGATAGAGACTGGTGGAGACACTATAGCCCTTAGACACCCTTCAAGCCTGGAACTGAACCCACTCCTGGAGATCACCCTTCAGCCAAATAATAGCCAGGCTTATAAAGTGAACAGTAACACCTGTGAGGAATGTGTTCCTCAGAACAATCACCCGATGAAATCAAAAGGGCAGCATTTGCTCAACAACAAAGTTCAGAAGGCAGGAAGGGGCAGGAAAGATGGGCAAATGGAAATGGAGAACCCAGGGGGGGAAGTGGGTAGACTGCTGTCACACTGAGGAGATTGCAACTAAGGTCGTGAAACAAAATGTGTATAAATGGTTGAACGGGAAACTAACTGGCTTTGTAAACTCACCCGAACCACAATAAAATGTTAAAAAAAAAAAAAAAGTACCAAAAGTTATGGGATGCAGCTAAAGCAGTGCTTAATGGGAAATTTATAGCTGTAAATGCCTATACATAAATAAAAAGAGAAAGATCTCAAGTAAATAATCTAATCTTCCACCTTAAGATACTGGAAAAGGAAGAGCAAACTAAAGATAAAGCAAACAGAAGGAAAAAAATTAAAAAGATTACAGAGAAAATTAATTAACAGGAAAAAAATGCAGAAAATCAATGAAACCAAAAGCTGAAACTTTGAAAAGACAGACAAAATTGACCACTGTTAGCTAGACTGACTAAGGAAAAAGAGAGATAACTCAAATTACTAGAATAAGAAATGAAAGAGTGGACATTACTAGCGACCATACAAAAATTTGTTGTTGCTGTTACCTGCTGTTGAGTTAGCCCCCGACTCATGGTGACCCCATGTGTTATAGACTAGAACTGCTCCACAGGGATTTCTTGACTGTAATCTTTACAGAAGCAGTTCACCAGGCCTTTCTTGTGCAGAGCTGCTGGGTGGGTTCAAACTACCAAACTTCCAGTTAGCAGCTGATCACAAATTGCTTGCACCACCCAGGCTCCTTGACCAAATAAAAATAAAAAGGACTATAAAGGAATACTATGAACAAATGTACGTCAATAATTTAATACCTTAGCTGAAGTGGACAAATTTCTAGGGATGGAAAACTACCAAAACTGACTCAAGAAGAAACAGAAAATAGTAAGTAAAGAAATTGAGTTAGAAATGTAGTAACTTTTGCAAAGAAAATCCCAGGTCTAGATGGCTTCACTGGTGAATCCTACCAAACATTTAAAGAATTAACACCAGTCTTTCACAAACTCTTTAAAAAAATAGAAGATGACATATTTCTCAACTCATTCTATGAGGAAAGTATTTGCCTGATACCAAAACCTGACATCATAAGAAAAGAAAACTACAGACCGATATCTCTTATGTATATAGAAGCAAAAATCCTCAATAAAAGGCTAGCAAACTGAACCTATCAGCATATAAAAAGGGTTATACACCATGACGAAGAGGGATTTATCCTAGGATTGCAATACTGGTTTAAAACAACTCTGAAAAAGAACACTGTTAAATGACTGACACTACTTAAATTCAAGATTTATTATAAAGCTAGACGGATGAAGACAGTACTGTATCGGTATAAAGAAGAACAAATAGGTCAATGAAACTGAATATAGGGTCCAGAAACAGATCTACACATATATGGTCAACTGATTTTCCAACAAAAGTTTAAAGGCAATTCAGTGGAAACAGGATAGTCTTTTCAACAGATGCTGCTGAGAAAATTGGATATCCATATGCAAAAAAATTAACTTGGACTCCTACTTTGCATCATTTACAAAAAATTAACTCAAAATGGATCAGAGACCAAATGTAAAAACCCAAGAATGGTAACATTTCTAGAAGAAAACATAGGTGAAAATCTCTGTGACCTTGGGTTTGGCAAAGATTTTTAGAGATGACACCAAAAGGCACAATCCATAAAAGAAAAAAGTGATAAACTGGACTTAATCAAATTAAGATCTTGTACGGTTCAAAAGACACCGTTAAGAGAATGAAAAGACAAACCACAAAATGGAAGAAATATTTGCCAATCGTACATCTGATACAGGACTTGAATCCACAATACGTAACTCTCAAAACTCAATAATATGAAAACAAACAACTCAATTAGAAAATTGGCAAAGGATTCTAACAGACACTTTACCGAAGAAAATATATGGATGACAAATTAAGCACATGAAAAGCTGCTTAGTATCACTAGACATTAGGGAAATGAAAACTAAAACCACAATATGATACCCCTACACACCCATCTGCAGAGCTAAAAAAATCAAGTGACCATATCAAGTGCTGGTGAATATGCAGATCTGGAATTTTCTAGACTGCCACTGGGAAGGTAAATGGTACAACTATTTTGGAAAGCAGTGTGGCACTTTCTTAAAAATGTAAACATACATTTACCATATTATCCACCCATTCCACTCCCAGATATTTACCCAAGATAAATGAAAGCACGTGTCCACACAAACACTTTTATGTGTTTCTGGCCACTTTATCCATAATAATAGTGGAAATTATTAAAACTATTAAAACTGGAAAGAATACAAATGCCCATTAACAAGTAAATGGATAAACAAATCTATACAATGTAGTGACAGTCAGCAATAAAAAGGAGAGCACTATTGATACATGCAACAACATGGGTGAATCTCAAAATAATGATGAGTGAAACTAAATTTAGAAAATGAGACATACTGTGATTCCATTTATATAAAACTCTAGAAAATGCAAAGCAATCAGCAGTTGCTTGGGGAGCAGCATGAGGGCAGGATTACTTTGGAGGCGATGGACATGTGTATTTTTTTTGACAGCATGATGGTTTCACAGGTGTGAACATATGTCATTGCTGACTGCACCAGTATGCTATAAATCTGTCTCCCTAGCTGCTAATGGACATAATAGCTACTAACAGACATAAGGTAAAGTATGTGCCTTGGGGGGAGATGACTGCCCTCTGAAGAAACCCACAACTCTGTTAAGCTATCTTAGTGGGTAGGGTGAAGGAGGAAGGGCTGTTCTCTCTAAATCTAGAATAGCCTGAACAGGGGCAATAAATGATGGACATTGCCTAGAGGGGGACTTCTACTTTTATTACCCCCTTTAGTACCTTTCACTGCCTCCTTCCATTACCCCTTCCCCTACCTGTTCTCTGTACATGCTATTTGGCACACAGACATGGCTACCTGAATAATATTTAATCGCAGGAGAGAAGAACTCAGGCGTTCTCCTCCCAAGACACAAACTGGGGCATACTTAAGATGCAATCTAACATCACCCTGTACGGGAGCCTAGTTTCAGGAAACCTAGGCTGATGATGATATATGCTGTTCTACTCATCCTTGTCCTGTTTATTGTGTAATAAAAGCCTGTGGACCTCACCATTAGAAAAGTGTCTGATCTGAGCTCTGTCTAAACAGTCTTCACTATGAACTTATAAATATAGTGACACTGCAGTCAGCTTATCAAATTGTATACTTTTTAAGTATATGCAGTTTATTGTATGTCAATTATACTTTCATAAAGCTATTTTTAAGTTATAGAACTTAAAATGGGTGCATTTTATGTTATGTAAATTATACCTCAGTACATAGGATTAAGAAGACGGCTATCCTATGACTCAGCAATTCCATTTCTATACATTCCCAAGAGAAATGAAAACATATGAATACAAAAGTAATTGTACAATAATATCCACACCAGCTGGCATAATCTGGTTTGGGAACACAGATGACATGATCTCAGAAACTTTGCATTTGCTGTCTACTCTGCTTGGAATGCTCGTCTCCGATATTCACAAGACCTGAGACCTTACTCCATATCTCTGTTTAAAGAAATGGCCTTTCCCGAGTTTATCAAAATTAGCTCTGACAACCCCTCAACATTCTGTCTCCTTACCCTGCTTTTTTTTTCCCACAATACATATCACTACCTGATACTACATTATCTATCATTTACTTGCTTACTACAGTATCAACAACTCCATGACAGCAGGAACCTAGTCAATAGTGCCTAGACTCTGTGACGGTGCCCGGCTTAGATTAAATGAATAAGAAATAATTATTGAATAAAATAATTTTAGGCAATGGAGAAATGGATACAAGATGTGTAAATGTAAGAGAGGACCTGGAAATATAGGTAAAATGGCTGTCAACGGGGAAGAAAGCAAGCAGGTCCCTCTTTGAAATGAAGGGGAATATGCAAGAAGAGAAGCAAGAAGCATGGAAAATGGGGGCAAAGATAGAGTTCCTTGGTAGCTCATGTTGAGAGGACCATAATGTCTTCCCAGGTTTCAGGCCTTTTCTCCACAGGCCTTGAGCCTTTGAAGCGAGCTTTCCAAAACATCTCAGGGGCAGGCCTCCTCCCCAACCCAGTGGGCTATAACCTGTAATGGCTTCTCCCTGCCTGATTTGCTGTCACTCACCTGTGTACCAACTTCTTGTCCCTTCCTTCACTACCATCCAGGGCTCTTTCTCTTGCTCCAGTAAGGTAATCACATCTGGCTTAGGAAAAGAACATCCTGCTCCCAAGAAAAGATACGCCGTATAACACAGGAAAAAAAAAAAAAAAATTTAAGATCAAAGTGACCTAATTCAGACTTGGTTACATTTATAATAAACTGTGGGTCAAAATGGTACTCGATAAAGTGAAAAAAAGGCTATTGAAGAACACTCACATTAAAATGAACTCATAATCACGGGACTAAAGAGACTAGATACAAAAAAAAAACAAAAAACAAAAAAACCAAACCTGTTGCCGTTGAGTTGAGTCTGACTCATAATGACCCTATAGGACAAAGTAGAACTGCCCCACAGGGTTTCCAATGAGTTGCTGTGGATTCGAACTGCCGACCTTTTGGTTAGCACCTGAGCTTCTACCACTGCTCCCCCAGGGCTCAGTGACTAGATAGGAGACTAAGTCAGAGAGGCAAAAGGTCTGCTCTGCTTTTAAACGCAGTAAAGAGAGGGGTTGAAAATACAGACTCTGGAGCCATATGGCCTGGGTTCAAATCCTCTCTGCCACCTCCCAGCTGTATGGCCTTGAAAAGTTACTTACCCACAATGTGCCTCACTTTTATCAAATGTAAAATGGGGCTAATATTATCTACCTCATAGGGCTGTTGCGAGGATTAAATGAATTAAAGGGCTTAAAAGGATGCCTACTGACCCGTTGCCGTCAAGTCAATTCCAACTCACAGCAACCCTATAGGACAGAGTAGAACTGCCCGATAGGGTTTCCAACGAGTGGCTGGTGGATTCGAACTGCAGACTTTCGGTTAGCAGTAGTAGCTCTTAACCACTGCGCCACCAGGACTCCACTGTTACCTTGCTGAGAGAAAAATACTAAGTTTCCTAAACACTTCCAGGTTCTTCCTCAGATCTTCCTCCCATGGAAAATGCAAAATTCACAGACTGTAACTTTCAAACCACAACGCAGATTAAAGAGAATAAGCTTCTTCTAGGATGAGATGTGTTTCCTTGAGGTTTGAGTGAATTTTGTTAACCCAATCCACCACTATAAGCTGTAGAGTTTCTTTTGCTAATCAAAGAAAATAGGAGCCCTGAGACTAGCTGTTCTCCTTGCAGGTGGCCAGAAACGAACACAGAGCAGCTGCAGGAATTCCAAGCAGACACATTATGTGAAATCTGGTTCTTCTGAAAATCTTGCAGAGCTCCAATCTGGGAATCATTTATGAAAACAGGCAGTTGCAGGAACGGCCAGGGGGAGAAGACATCACTGAAGGTCGGGGAAGATGAAGGCTTAAAGCAGGTGCCCATGTCCAACCCAACAGTGCTCAAACCATTTCTTTAGAAATTGTTGCTGTGTGCCATCGAGTTGATTCCGACTCACAGCGACCCTATAGGACAGAGCAGAACTGCCCCATAGGGTTTCCCAGGCTGTAATCTTTAGGAAGGCAAACTGCCACATCTTTCTCCCACAGAGCAGCTGGTGGGTTCAAACCGCCAACCTTCCGGTTAGCAGCCGAGTGCTTAACCATTGTACCACCGGGAGCAGATATTCAGCTAGCTTCTTAAAACAGAGCTCTGAAGTTGAACACTGGAGAAAGCAGATATTCCAGAGAAAAGATGGTAAATTATTTAAGGCAGATAGCCTTACCCAAGGAGACCAAGTTGCTGTAGTTCTCCAACGTCACATCCCTGTACAAGCTCCTCTGAGCAGGGTCCAGGCATTCCCACTCCTCCTGAGAGAAGTCGATGGTCACGTCCCTGAACGCCAATGACACCTGAAATGACACACCCGTGTAATTTTTTTATTGTGTTGGAAATACATATAACAAAAAATACTCCATCTCAACGATTTCTACATAGACAATTCAGTGACGTTGACTGCATTCTTGAAGTTGTGCAACAATTCTTGTTATCCTTTTCCAAATCATGCCACCACCATTAACATAAACTCAATGCCCTCTAAGCAAAAACTCCCCTTTCCGCCCTCCCTCCCACCCCTGGTAACGATAATCTTTGGTTTCTATATATTTGCTTATTTCATATTCGTGAAATCATACAGTATTTGTCCTTTTGTGACTGACTTATTTTGCATGATGTTTTCAAGGTTCATCCATGTTGTGGCATGCATTGGGACTTCATTCCTCCTACTGGCTGAGTAGTATTCCACTGTGTGTATGTACTACATTTTGTTTACCCGTTCATCTGTTGATGGAGATTTCGGTTGTCTCCACATTTGGTTATTGTGAAAAGTGCTGCAACGAACATTGGTGTACAGGTTTCAGTTGTGTTCCTGCCTTCACTTTTTCTGGGTATATACCTAGGATTGGGATTGCTGGGTCATATGGTAGTTCTATGTTCAACTTTTTGAAGAACCACCAAACTGTTTTCCACAATGGCTGTACCATTTTACATTTCCATCAGCAATGGACGAGGGTTCCAGTTTCTCCACAACCTCACCAACACCTACTGTTTTCTGTTTTTTGATCATTGACATTCAAATAGGGGTGAGGTGGTATCTCATTATGGTTTTGATTTCCATCTCCCTAATAGCTAATGATGTTGACCATCTGTCATGGATTGAATTGTGTCCCCCCAAAATGTCTGTCGGCTTGACTGGGTCATGATTCCCAGTATTGTATGACTGTGTAATCTGATGTGATTTCCTTATGTGTTGTAAACTCTATCACTATAATGAGGTTATATACGATTTCCTTATGTGTTGTAAACTCTAACACTATGATGAGGTTATACTGATGAGGTCTACAAGATTAGATAGTGTCTTAATCTGATCTCTTTCGAGATATAAAAGAGAGAAGCGAGCAGGCGCACATGGGAACCTCACACCACCAAGAAAGCAGTGCTGGGAGCAGAGGGCATCCTTTGGACCTAAGGTTCCTGCACCGAGATGCTCCCAGACCAAGGGAAGATTGATGACATGGACCTTCCTCCAGAGCCAAAAGAGAAAGCATTCCCCTGGAGTTGATGCCCTGAATTTGGACTTGTAGCCTACTGGACTATGACAGAATAAACTTCTCTTTGTTGAAGCTATCCACTTGTGGTATTTCTGTTATAGCAGCACTAGATGACTAAGACACCATCTCTTCATGTGCTTTTTGGCTATCTGAATATCATCTTTGGTAAAATGTCTTCAAGTCCTCTACCCATTTTTGTTTGGGTTGTTTGTCTTTTTGTTGTTAAGTTGTACAACCCATGTATTATTAATAAAAAGTTTTTAAAATGTATTTTCAAGATGGAAAATTGTTTGTAGGAAAGAGGCAACAGAGCAAGCAAGTAAGCTGGGGTTCAAACCTGTGACATGTAGGGAAGAGTAAGGAAATTAGTATTTCTGAAATAGAGTGCCTGTATGCTTTTAAAGAATGCTGTTGATACAAACAAAAACACCCTGCACACCATGGGATAACGTAATTATCCAATGGCCTACCCACTGCCAGCAATTCTGACACATAGTGACCCTGTGGGACAGAACAGTACTGCCCTACAGGGTTTCCAGGGAGCAGTTGGTGGATTCGAACTGCCGACTTTTTGGTTAGCACCCAAACATGTAACCACTGCACCACCAAGGCTCCATCCAAAGTTTCCCAATTAAAGGAAAGAGCTTAAAGAAGTACACTACCTATTATGTGACCATATTTCAAGTGCTGAATAAACATGAGTTCCATCATCCTCTTTTCCCTTCAAGGAGAAAAAGAGTATGAATGAATTTTTTTTTTCTTTAGAAGTATCTTGAAGTCTACATCTTAGAAAATAAGACTTCAATGACATTATATGATTTTACCAAAACTCAGGTTCATCATTATGCAAGATTATGTCATAAATATCTTTCCTCGTAACAAATGACTACATTTTTAGTTAATACATTTTATTGGCTGTTAATTGTCCATCTTGCTGTTATAGCAGACTTATCCTTCTTTCATTTTTAGGTATTTAAGTTGGACAAAATGTCTAAGATTTTCGAAAATCCCGTGAGTCTATTTCCATCCACCACTAGGGATCTGGGGGATTATCTGACCTGCTAGCTGCCTTGTTCCTGAAGTAGAGATGCTGATGTAGAATGATCTATAATGACACTGATGTCACTGGAGACCAACACAACCTCCTCAACCACAAAATTGACCTTTTTCCTGTTGTTCATCCCTCAGGGACCATTATGGATTGAATTGTGTCCCCCAAAAATGTGTGTTGTAAATCCTAACCTCTATGTCTGTGGTTATAATCCCATTTGGGAATTGGGTTGTCTTTGTTATGCTAATGAGGCTGGATTAGTGTAGGGTGTATTTTGAGTCAATCTCTTTTGAGATATAAAAGAGATTAAACAAGCAAGCTAGGAAGTAGAGATTGGGGAAGAGAGATGCCAAGCCACATGAAGATCACCCAGGAGTAGAAGCTCAAAGAGACAAGGACCTTCCTTCAGAGTGACAGAGAGAGAAAGCCTTCCCCTAGAGCTGGCACCCTGAATTTGGACTTCTCGCCTCCTAAACTGTGAAAAAATAAGTTTCTTATCTAGTGCTGTTATAATAGAAACACCACTTATGGCACTTCTGTTATAGCAGCACTAGGTAACTAAGACAGGGACCCCCCTGGCTAGACCCTGATGTTCCCATATGCAGGCCCCAATCACACTCCAATCCAGTTCTGTAACCTTCTTAAGGCATGAGAGCTCACCATGGGCAGAACATTCAAGACTATATTCCATCTCATCAGCATGCAAAATTCAGGTCTGTGGAGGTAAAGCTTCACTGTGAGTCTAATGGAACCATCATCTCTATGCAATGGGGTCATGACTAATAAAAAAAACAAATCTGTTACTGCTGAGTCAACTTCGACTCATAGCGACCCTGTAGGACAAAGTAGAACTGACCCATAGGATTTCCAAGGAGCAGCTAGTGGATTCCAACTGCTGACCTTTTGGTTAGCAGCTCAGCTCTTAACCACTACGCCACCAGGACTCCAGGACTCTGACAAGGGAAGCTCAAATATCTCCCCCCAGGGATTTCACCTTCCATGGCTCCATCAATGCCCCTGAGAGAAGACTGGGCACTGAGGAGATGGTGAATGACGAACAGGTGAGCACGGGTAAGAGAAAAGAGACACCGAGTGAGAAGGACCCTAGGCTGTTTGGTACCATTCATCACCGTGATGGGAGCGACTGGGGAGCAGGTTCAGCAATAGAGTTCTCTTAGGAAGGAAGTCTCAGGATAAGAAAAATGATCACATGAATTCAAAAACAACATTTCAAGGTGAGGAACATACACTTACATGGGCCATGGTTTTAGAATTGCAAGACCGTGTCAGTCTTCCTTGGGCTTCCTCTACCAGAGAAGCACAGAGTCCAGAGAAGCCAGGGCTGGGAGAGGAACAAGAAGCTTTGATAACAGGTGTGTCTCAGAACTCCCAAAATGACTTATGTTAATATAATCCCATTTTCCTCCCTTCGTTTCTACTTCAACACCACCACTCCCCACACGCAAATCAGGGGAGACAGGAGGGAGTCTGCATAAAGCCCTCCCCATGCCACAGGAAACCAGCTGCACAGGTGTAGCTGCAGAGCAGAGGCCTCCTGCACTGAAGTTAGGTCAGGCACACTAGCAAGAGGGTCTCTAACCAAAAAAAAAAAAAAAAACCCAAACCTGTTGCCGTTGAGTTGATTCTGATGCATAGTGACCCTATAGGACAGAGTAGAACTGCCCTATGGCGTTTCCAAGGAGCAGCTGGTGGATTCCAACTGCCAACCTTTTGGTTAGCAGCTGAGCTCTTAACCACTGAGACACCAGGGCTCCAGAGGGTCTCTGGCCCACCCCAATTTATGATGCTGCTGACCTGTAGGTGAGACTCAACTGCTGAGTCCTGCCCTGAGTCGAACTTCTTCCCTCTATGTCCCCCTTCTAAGGCTGAGAAGAGGCCACTCCATCCAAACCAAGACATCATTCATGGCTTGGGCATATGCCTGGACTCTGCAGACACAAGGGCAGAAAACAGGAGGCAGCCTTTCCCACTGCAAAACTACACTTGCCCACATGGAACTATGGCCCCCAGAATTCTCTGGGCCCACCAGCCTCTATTTCCCAATTAATATCATCTATACTGCTTTTACGCATGAAGTCATTAGCAACCTCAACCTGGGGAGTGGTGAATTCAGGCCCAACGTGGCGAGGTGACAACACAAGTAGGTATTTTTAGGATCTCCTATGTGATGGGTCCTTTATCACATAATATTTAATCGTGCAACGTAGTTATCTCCATTCAACAGATGAGATCATGGAGGCTCAAAGAAAAGTTCCTCGCCCAAATCCACAGTTAGTAAGTGGCAGAGCTGCGTTTGGAAACCACGTTTCTCTAAATAGAAAGCCAATACTCTTTCAGCTTTGGCTTCTTGCCTCTGAAGCCCAAGATTTCTTCCTTTGAGTGAAACCTGAGCATGGGTAATTCACTAAAAAAATAACAACATATCATCCACCAACGTTATTCAATGCCAATACAATACAGTCAAGGAGATACTTGTTAAAGAAACAAGGAATACCAGTTTACAGTTTTTAGACTGGCAGAAAGATAAGACTGATAATATGCCATCTGAGGAAGGTTACAGGGAGACGGATGCTCTGTAGTTGCTATAGATTTGTACAAACTTAAAATAGGGTATATAGAAGTATGTGAAAGGATTTAACCACACAAGCCTACTTCTGGGACTCTGACCAAAGAAAATGATTGTAAAAGTGTAGAAAAACATATGCAGGAATGGCAGTGTTCAGCACTGTGAGCCTAGCAAGAGTTGACGGACAAATAATTACAGAACATCTACATAATGGAATATTAAGTAGATATTAAATACTGTACTAAGTTGGTGAAAATAACTAAAGGATGTAGAAACTATTCAGGATATATTGTAAATAGAAAAATCAGGTTAAAAGCCAAAATGTACAATGTGATCACATTCGTAAGAAGTACATACACACATGGTATGGATTGAATTGTGTCCTCCCAAAATATGCGCTGTAAATCCTAACTCCTATACCTGTGGTTATAATCCCCTTTGGGGAGGGTTTTTTTTTCTTTTTTTTTGGTTATGTTAAGAGGTCTTATCAGTGTAGGGTATGTTTTAAGCCAGTCACCTTTGAGGTATAAAAAAGAGCAGAGTAGGACAGAGAAGCAAGCAAGCAGTTAGGGGAAGAAATGTCATGCCACATGACGATCACCGTGGTCGCCAAGGAATGGAAGCTTAAAAGAGACAAGGACCTTTCTCCAGAGCTGACAGAGAGAGAAAGCCTTCCACTGGAGCTGGCGCCCTGAATTTGGACGTCTAGCCTCCTAAACTGGGAGAGAATAAATTTGTTAAAGCCATCCACTTGTGGCACTTCTGCTACAGTAGCACTAGATGACTAAGACAGTGCACTTATATGTAAAGAAAGTAAGAATGAAAGAGAGACAGGCAGAAGGGCAGATATCAAAATAGAGGAAAAAAATCCACAAAATTATATACCCATACGCTAACACTGCTCATCTGCACGATATATATATATATATATATATCGTGCTTTAGGTGAAAGTTTACAGAGCCAATTAGTTTCTCAACAATTAATACACATACTGTTTTGTGACACTGGTTGCCAACCCTGCGATGTGTCAACACTCTCCGCTTCTCAACCTTGGGTTCCCCATTTCCATTCATCCAGCTTTCCCGTCTCCTCCTGCCTTCTTGTGCTTGCCCCTGGGCTGGTGTGCCCATTTAGTCTCGTACACATGGCTGAACTATGTGTGTTATTGTTTGTTTTATGGGCCTGTCTAATCTTTGGCTGAAGGGTGAACCTCAGGAGTGACTTCAGTACTGAGTTAAAAGAGTGCCCGGGGGCCATACTCTCAGGGTTTCTCCAGTCTCTGTCAGACCAGTAAGTTTGGTCTTTTTTTGTGAGTTTGAATTTTGTTCTTGCATGATATTCTTTTTGCTTAAGTATGATCCATAATTTTAAAAGCCCTTTTAAATACACACACAGGCATATGTATTTATTTTATTTTGATAAGAGAAAGTTCTTTTTTAAAACAGTCTTCTCTTGAACTTGGGGAAAAAGCTCAGGATAATCTAAAAGCAGATGTTTGATTTTTACTGAATGTCTTTTTTCCCTTTAGCACCTAACCAACCTGAACTAACTGTTCGATTTTTTTATGTATGTCCATGCATATGAATGTATTGCTGTATCTTGTACGTATTGATGATGGTCTCAACGAGGCTTTCTTTCATGTATTCCTGACAGTTTATTTTGCTCTGAAATTGTCCTTTCAGCCATGCTATCCTCCAACTGCTGCTGAATCATCTTGTCCCATTAGTCTCATTTTGAATCTAACATCGTTAGAATAAAAGCTATAAGGTACGAAATTGTGCAGTCCAATATGATAGCCACTAGCCACATACGGCTATTTAAGTTAAAAGTTAAATTAAGAATCCAGTTCCTCAGTTGCATTAGCCACATTTCAAGTGCTCCATAGTCACATGTGACTAAACTAAACCAAACCAAACCAAACCGCTGCCATCGAGTCGATTCCGACTTATAGCGACTCTATAGGACAGAGGAGACCTGCCCCATAGGGTTTCCAAGGAGCGCCTGGTAGATTCGAAATGCCGACCTTTTGGTTAGCAGCCCAGCTCTTAACCACTACGCCCGGAGGCTGGAATCTGTTTCTGAATTCATAGCAGATTCCTAGGATCAGAGGTTTGGGAATGCTGTGGCTCTGAAAAATGCAGCTGCCCCCAACAACGCCTTCAAGTGTGGACTCTCTCATCATGTCGTCCCAGGAATTTGTCTCGGGGGCACTTCTACTTCTAAAAGCCCCACCCCAACCCCAAGTCTATGACTTCTTGCTAGGAACCTTCATTCTATGGCTCAGTATTTGACTTCCCTCTTGGGGACATGGCTCTGTGGCAGACACCCCGGGCTATGAGGCAGGAGGGCGGAGGAGGCAGCAGAAACCTCGAGCCGGTGACACCACAGAGCCACGCACCAGCAACTGCAGCAACCTTCACAGAGATCTACCCCGATGATGCCAAGCGCACAGTCGCGCGCGCGCACACACACACGCACAGTCTGTCACACGCAGTCACACAACCTCCCTCCTGTGCTCCCCACGTACGCATAGGCCTGAGGCGAGGGCACGACACGTCCTGTTCGCGCCCCAGGGCGCCTCACGTTGGGAGGCAGCCCCAGCCCCACAAATCCCCCTCCACCTCACCTAGCGGCCACTTACTTCTTGCCTGGCTGGGACCAGCACTCCCTGGATGGTAGAAATACCAAGAGCGCACCGGAAGGGGCCCTCAGGGCCCAGGTTAACCCCTCCCCTGGGCCTTCTGGGAAATGTAGTCCATAAAAGGAAGACCGCTAGCCGGGGCTCGAACTGCGCAGGCGCGTGTTGTGCAGGCGGCTCCCGCGCCGGAAGCTGAGGCAGCGAGCTCAAAACTTGGACTGTCTTGGCCTTCCGAGACTCTGCTCTGTGTCTGGGCCGCCCGAGGTTATCCGTAGGTGCGACCCTGAGACTGAGAGCGCGCGGGCCTGGGCGCGGCCTCCCCAAGGCAAAATTTTGTCTCTTCTCCTGAGGTAGTCCCGGCGCCTGGAAGGCTCCTGGTACACAGCATTTGGAATACGTGTGTGGCCCCCTGTATCTGACCTTGTGAGCGTCTGTGTCACTGTAAGGGTTGTGGGACCTACTGCACCTTTCTGGCCGTGGGTGGATTGTGTTCCTGCGTGTGAGTAGTTCTTTGGGTGTGAGGTGGTGTGTGACTGAAATGGCATCCGACTGTAGGGAGGCCACAGCGAATAGCCTGGGAGTGTCATTTTGTGACTGAGCAGTGAAGTGACAGTTTCAGGGAGATTGTGGCTGTGCTTTACTGCAGCTTACTGCGGTAACGTGTGATGGTCAGGAGCCTATCTATGGAAAATAGCGCCTGTGGCAAGAAAGAGGATAGACCTAAGGTAAGAGAAGCCATCCAACAACTGTTGCTTACACTCACTGGCTAGAACTTCCTCACATGGCCACAGCTAGCTGCAAGGAGGGTGGGAAATGTTTTTTTTCAACTGGGCACACTGCCATCCCTATAAAACCACGGTTCTGTTAATAATCAAGGGAGCAATTGATATTGGGTAGGCAACTAGTAGTCTTTTCCACAGTCTCCCTTGTGTCCCAACTGCTCAGTCCCAGAATAGAGTTATTTGTGGCTTTTGTTGACCCTGGACACCATTCTGGCAAATGTGCAAGATGTGAAGGAAAGAGTTATAAGGGAATTAAAGAAAAAAATTGAGGCACCTGATAAGATCTGAAATGGCCAGTTGTGAGGAGGGGGTGTGATTGTTTGCTAGTTCCATTTTCACCCTAGAAGCAGCCATCTTTCATACTGTTTCTAAGAGAGGAATGTCCAGTAATGATGACATAACTACACTGTGACCGCTCCCTGTCCCATACCTGTGTAATTGCCATACTGTAACCAATCTAAGAAAGAGGCATCTTTTAAGTCAGTCGCCTCACAGAGCTTGCTGCAGGAAAGCCC